ATAGGAGGCAGCATGGAAAGGCTTCCCAGATTCCATCCCTTGTTATGTTGTTCTGAGCTACACTCAAAGTCAAAACAAGGAATTCAGGCATTTTTTCCGACATGGTTTAAGGGTCATTCTCCACTTCCTAGTCTGTCTGTTAATATAATAAACTCTAACCATGGTTTTATACTTCTGAGATTTACACTGCAATTTCCATTGTAAAACGGTGATAGATTTTATTTATACAAAAAAGAAACAGTGCCCTTATTACAAAAAAAGAAAAAGAAAAAAAGCCATCTTCTTACACTGGAGTAGAAAAAACGTTCGATGAAATACTACTATTACAAAAGTTAATAAAGTAATGAACAAGGCCTGTGCTTGGAACACTGTCTTGAGGAATCAAATATGCTTAGGAAGTCAAGAAGGAACAGCAGAGGTTTAGAAACCTGATCCATCAACTTGATTCTGACTCACAGCCACCCTATAGGACAGGACAGAACTACCTCATAGGGTTTCCTAGGCTGTAATCTTTACAGAAACAGATCATCAGGTCTTTTCTCCCGTGGAGCGGCTGGTGGATTCAAACTGCTGACCTTTCCATTAGCAGCCAAGCTTAACCATTGGCCACTAGGGTTCCTTCTCTCAGATTAGGAGCAATGAAAGAATGAAAACAAAGGAAAAGAGGGATTTTTCTCTTACGAGAAAGTTGACATCTTGGAAGACAATTGAGAGACAAATCTGGATGACCCTGGAGGCTCATTTCCTCCCCATTTTCTGTAGCTTAGCAAAGAGCCAGCTCAGTGGGTCTGCAGGTCTGTGTTTAAAAGGCTTATCCTCTAGAGGCCCCTTCTAACAGTCCTACTTCCCTGACCAGGAAGCTTTCACTGTTACACAGTCACACAGATGTTCCCTGCCTTCCCTTCCCCAAAATATTTAAAGTATTAAAGAAGTTCCAGCCCAGCTATGCCCAGCACACCTCCCTCAGTGATAACGAATGCTTGGAGAATCAGGTGCATTCTATCATTTTTCTGCTTACAAGTTTCTCCCCAGTAAACCCTAGACATCAAAAAAAAAAGGAAATGCATCCAGAACTAACTACTCTTAAGGAAAGGGTCAGAAAAGAGGGCAGCATCTTAACTGTCATTAAGCAGAAAGTGTCCCTGGGGTCCAAAGAAATTTAAAAGAGGAAGAAATGCAAAGTCCCAGGAAAGACTAGAACAGCTTCCCCAGAGGGGACCAGGGTTCAGGAAACTATTGAAAGATAGCTTCTTAGAGCTGCAAAGAAGCTGTAAGAAAAGCAGTTAGAGACTGCCTGTCAAGATAGGGCCAGCTATACTAAGTAGTTACAGAAAATCTTTAGAAAATATTGAAGTACTAGTTGAGTCTCAACCTGACACAGTAATAAATGGACACAGGTTTTGCCTGTGCTGTGTAAACTCCACAAGGGAGACATATTCATCTGTTACCTAGAAGAGTGTCTGACCCATAGCAGGTGCTCAGTATTTGTTGAATGAATATCATTAAAGGGGATCCAGGCAGAACAATAATAGATCACAAGCTGGCTGGATAAAATGCTATGGGAAGATATCTCCTCATAATAGCATCCAGTTCAAGAAGGTAAAGGTAAAGAAAATTACTCTGAATATTTGATGCTTCTGGTAGACACAGAACTCTGAATTCATCTCTCCCATAATGGGAGACCCCCAACTCCAGGACAAAATCTAGAAGAACCTGTCAAAAAAAAAAAAAAAAAAAAAAAATCTGGGCCAAAAAGCAAAAGGAACAGAAATCTCTACATAAGTGTGATGGTTAAGATTGTGTGTCAACCTGGCTGCGCCATGATTCTCAGTGTTAATATGTGATCATTCCCATGACGGTATCTGCTGTGAGTAGACAATCAGTTGAAAGGGAGTTTCCTTGGGCGTGCGGCCTGCATTTGAATATAAGCAGATATTCTGGCTTTTTGCTTGCTTTGGATCCTGTGGCTGCCTCCTGTTCGTCTGACCTTCAGTTCTTGGGACTTGAGCTATCAGTTTATCTACCAATCTTGGGATTCGTCGATCTTCATAGCCTGTGAACAGAGACCTGCTCTCTGACCTGCCGATCTTGGGTTCGCCAGCCCCTACAGCTATGTCAATCAGGAGAAGCCTTGCGGTCTTGCCTGCCAATCATGGGATTCATCGACCTTCACAGCCTGTGAGCAAAAGCCCTGCTTTCCCACCTGCTGATCTTGGGTTTGCCAGACCCTGCGGCTATGTGAATCAGGAGAAGCCTCTATCCTAATCCACGGACTTAAGATGTTCCAGCCTCTACAAACACATGAGCTGTTTCTTTGATATAAATCTCTCTCTATATATATTCATACACTTTACTGGTTTTGCTTCTCTAGAGAACTCAACCTAAGACAATAAGGAAAAATTCAGACCAACATAAGAAGCAGGTAATAGTGTTAGAAACTCAAAGAGGCTTCCAGAAAGGAGTGCAGAATAGCAGAGAAAAAAATGCCAACTGTGTCTACAATAAGTGGTACTTCTTGCCTGAAACATCTAGAAGCTGAAGACAGACAGTATCCTGAGGAACACATAGCAAAGGTCTTGATTTTCACTGGGCCCCTGGGGGAACAAACTGCAGAAGCAGTTATCAGCTCAGGAAACTGCCAACGGTGATACTTTACTGAGACACATGTGGGATGAAAGACCCCAGCCCTCACCCTCAGGTGGCAGTTGTTCTGGCCTGAGCAACTCCACAGCAGAAGGCAGTGTCCACGGAGAAGTCCTGCTGACAAGGGGTGGGAGAAGCTATGTCATTAGAGCCCACCCTCAAAGCAGCCCTGGGGTGCCAGAAACAGACCCAAGAGGGAAATGGAAATAAAGAGGTTTCAAAGTGCTGGATGAGAAAGGCACCTCAAAAACCTAGTTGGGCTGCCACTACTGTAAATTAACTCCTTAAGAATGCAGCATCATCTCAAATACCACTATCTAAAGTCAAGAATACACACAGATAGATGAGCCTCTCCAGATACAATGAACACATGGTAAAAAGTGATGTCTCAATGGATTTTTTTCTCCCAACCCAGTTTAAGTTTACAGGTTGGACATTCTGAATAACTGGCATAGAACTGAGGTCCAGTGAAACTGAACCAAGGTTTTCTCAGCTGGTTCACCTTTCCTGATACCACTGAATCTCTATCAGGGTCTTTGACAACAGTAAACACTGGTTTCTAGGGATGAAATTTTGCCTGAGATACTGCTAGGGACTGGTGATTGGCCTGTTTTCTAAATTTTGTCTACGTATGGCAATGCTGTGATAATCTTTCATGTCCTGTTAACTATTTAGATCCTTCTGGTTGTTACTTTAAGTGAGGCCTATAAGAAACTTGGCATTCAACTTGGGTAGCAGGGTGCCACCGAGTTAGCAGGCAGGTGCATTTAGCTCTTGTACTAAGCTAGTTCTCCAACACATTTATCGGTCATTAATTAAGCTGACAATTTGCTCTCCACTTGTCTGCCATTCCTTTTTCTGTTGGTTCTGAATCTGAGCTCAGAAAGAAGGGTGCTATTTATTAGGTTCCCCCCAAAAACCACAACTTCTGCCCTCACTTTTATTGTATAGGCTTGTTGAGGATGGTCAAAGCAATTGCAAAATAGGAACCAGAGCTATCTACAGTGAGGGGTCGGGGAGAGGGAGAGGAGAAAGAGACAGAAAATGAGTTAATGACCATGGTCAAAACCCAGCAAACTCCCTACAGAACTATTCACCAGTTACCGAATAGTCCAAAGGTATGTTAATGAAGACGAAGGTGTTAAACAAAACTGGACCTGGTGCATCCGCAAGATAAGACTAAAACCAGATGTCTGGTCAGTGGCATGTGAGAAATCTACCTGTATATCCTGTGAAGGTAGAAATGGATATGTGCCTTAATCAGAAGGACCGGTGAGAAATGGACTGCGCGCTGAGGAAGGCACCTTGTGGAAACAAGCTGTAAGCACTGCAGACCCTCCCTCCAACCATTCCAGGTAGTCGTTCAATACCTGTGTATACAAGCACTGAAGTCAATTAAAATAAATCTTTAAATTGATGAGTCAGTTATTTATTTTCACTCTTTTCAATCTCAGTAATTCCCTCCGCGAAAACATTTTTACCACCGTTATTCACCCTGGCCTTCAGTTTTCTGGTTACAGCTGTCACAACTGTCCCTACTCACAGTTGCCAACCTCTCCATACCATCAG